CAGTGTGTGATAATTGTAGATAAAGTTGCAGGAAACTCCCCAATCTACATTACCTTTTAAATAAAAGTAAAAGGCATTGAGTTTGGAGAGTTGTGCCATCGTCACCATTCTGTAATCATGGCAGGTCTGAGGAAAAAACAAAAAGAAAAAAAGAGGCAAGTGTGCTTTGCCTCAGTAATTCAACATTTTGGTTGATAATTAAAGCGATCTCTTGTTGCTGGGCCTGTAGTGTGGCAGAAGAGCCCGGGAAGAAGAATATGGCTGTGCTGAGCTGCTTATCTCATAACAACTGAGAATAAAGGAGAGATGGGGAGAGAGAGAGAAACAGAGAAAGAGAGAGACAGAGAGAGACAGAGAGAGAGAGAGAGAGAGCTTTTAATTGCATGCCCCTAATAGCCTACTTCTTCCCATTTCTTTCTGCTTCCTGAAGGTGTCTCCAAGTTTTAATGTGCTTCCTAATACAAACCTATTCATAAATTAGCCATGGGTGATATCAAAGCCTTTATGATCTAACCTTTCTCAAAGTTCTCCCTCTGAACACTGTATGGGCCACTAAGCCTTTAATATGTGAATCTTTGGGGAGAACACTTATCATCCAAAACACAGAAGCACTTTTTGAATTGTAATATAATACAATGTACCTAAATATAATTTTTATCCAAAAAAATAGAGTACTATCACTAAAAAAAGTAACTCAGGAAATACAGCAGTGCTCAACCTAAATTGTCACAACACAGAAGCATTACTAGAAATTACCACTAAACATTAAATATTATTATTAATTAGAAATAAAGCATTAGCAGCTGAAGGGATGAGACTTGAATTCAAGCTCAACAGACAGGAACCTTTTCTAGAAGGTCACAATACTGAATGGGCATGGAGCTCTGGACTACCAGGAACCTTGTTATACCACAGAAAAAAATTGCAGCCACAGCAGAAAACACTTCAGGTGGTGCTTAGTTACAGTGTATCTGAACTACATGAGTTCTTTTCCTCTAAGTATCTCCAGGGCTATTTAATTTAATTTAATTTAATTTTGTCATATTGGAGATCATCTTTCTTTCTCTCCTTTTTACTTTTTAAAAATCATAATGAAATACTTGTTAAAAGATTCACTTTGATGCTTGTGCATGAGGTATATTTATTTATTCCCTGATTTGAGTCTATGAAATAAGTTCACAGATTAACAGGCAAAACAAACAAACAAAAAACTATGCAAGCCAATCTCATGCTTGAGGATATCAAATGGAAAGAAAACAAATATCTAAATACCTACTGGTATGAGGAAATTTCTACTCCCTATCATAGGCTGAGTTCAGGGTAATACAGGCAAACTGGGGAAGAATAAATTATTTAGGAGAAAGCTGAATATGATCTTAGGAGGTGGACGATAGGCTTGGAGAAATCTCTTTCGGGATAGTATGGCTATCCATACTGTGCACACTTCTCCTGTGGTACAATTTAATTCCTCCTGGTTGGTGGAACTCCCAGGAGGGGCTATCATGTTTCTCATGGAGTATATGTGATTTATATACCAGGAGAAGTTTTTGTTTGTTTGTTTGTTTTTTAACTTTTTAAGATTAATTTGTTTTCTATTAATTACAATTTATTCACTTTGTATCCCTCTGTAGCCCCCTCTTTTGTCCCCTCCCAATCCCACTCTCAGTCCCTTTTTTCTTGCCATGCCTCTCCCCCAGTCAACTGATAGGGGCCCTCCTCTTGTTCCAGCTGATCCTAGTCTATCAAGTCTCTTCATGACTAGCTGAGTTCGTCTTTCTCTGTGACCTGGTAAGGCTGCACCCCTCCTCAGGGGTGGTGATCAAAGAGCAGGTCAATGAACTCATGTCAGAGACAGTCCCTGTTCCCATTACTAGGAAACCCACTTGGACACTGAGCTGCCATGGATTACATCTGTGCAGGGGTTCTAGGTTATCTCCATGAATGGTCCTTGGTTGGAGTATCAGTCTCAGAAAAGACCCTTGTGCCAGATATTTTTTGTTTGTGTTTTTTGCTCTCCTTGTGGAGCTCCTGTCCCATCCAGGTCTTTCTATCTCTCCATTCTTTCATAAGATTCCCTTCATTCTGCAAAGTTTGGCTATGATTCTCAGCCTCTACTTTGATACCCTGCAGGGTAGTCTTTCAGAGGCCCTCTGTGGTAGGTTCCTGTTCTGTTCCCTGTTTTCTCACTCTTCTGATGTTCATCCCATTTGCCTTTCTGAGTGAGGATTGCTCATCTTACCTATGGTCCTGCATTGCTTAGCTTCTTTAGGTGCACAGATTTGAGTATGATTACCCTATATAATATTTCTAATATCCACTTATGAGTATATACCATGTATGTCTTTGTGCTTCTGGGATACCTCACTCGGATGATCTGTTCTAGTTCCCACCATTTGCATGCTAATTTCTAATTTCCTTGTTTTTAATTGTTGAGTAGTATTCTATTGTGTAAATTGTATACAACAATTTCTGTATCCATTCCTCAACTGAGGGACATCTGGGTTGTTTCCAGATTCTGGCTCTTATGAATAAAGCTGCTATGAACATGGTTGAGAAATGTCCTTATTGTGTACTTGAGCATCTTTTGGATATATGCCTACGAGTGGTATTTGTGAATCTTGAGGTAGCACCATTCCTAATTGTCTGAGAATGCACCAGATTGATTTCCAGAGTGGTTGTACCAGTTTACATTCCCACCAGCAGTGGAGGAGGGTTCCCCTTTCTCCACAACCTCTCCAGCATGTGTTGTCACTTGAGCTCCATTCTGATGGGTGTGAGGTGAAATCTCAGGGTTGTTTTGATTTGCATTTCAGGGGAAGATTCTTATTTTTCTCTGGAAATAATATTTTCCCAACACTTGCTTTTGCGCCTTTAGTTCAAAAGAAGCAGAATTAAAATTAAAATGTTAGCTTACGTTTACTGAACTACATCACTATTTTTATAACTTGGTGGTATTTTACACATATTCATTTTGTTGTTTAACCATCATGACTATTTCCCAAAAAGTTTCCAACAGTAAACCCATTAAGCCGTAGCTTTCTCTCTAGCAGGACCCTGATCTTTTGCCCATTTTAGCAAGTTTATATTTAGACTCATAATATTTTTTTGTATATTAATTTTTACTTAGAATGCATATTGTTAAAATTTTGATGTTTACAAGAGCTTAATTGATTTCAATTTTTCATTGTATTAAAAAAAGCACCTTCCCATCTTTTTTATGGATTTTTATGATGTGTCCATCTCTAAGTTATCTATTGTATGTTTTTCACTGTGAACTTGGTGTTTCATGGCTGGGCCATTTCTTCAGCCCTCCAAGTTATATATCTATCTTTGCCAATGCTTACAAAAAACAACAACTCTCTTCTAGGAATTCCTCTGATTGTTATTTCTAAATGACTTAAGCCCGTTTCAGTATAAGAATATGAATATGTTAATGAGAAAATCATGGTATCTAAAACCTCTAAACATAAACTATGTAGTTCGGAATCTAATAAAAAATTACAGCTTTTCAAATAAGAAAGAAAATAAGACTTGTCATTACAAGAAAAATCAATTACTAGAAACAAACCTTTTTTATGTATAAATTGGCTGACATTAAACAGTGTAGTGGCAGCACTTGCCTTAAACAGTTTGTAGCAATGAGGAGACGTTAAAGATCCAAATCCAACTCCCACAAGTAAAATTATAGTATTTGTGTTGAAAATACCTTGACTCTATATAATAGTGGATTGGATGCTCCAGAAGGAAGGATTAATGAGTTTGAAGGTGATAGTCATAAAGATAGGTAAGGTATAGATGCACCAAAGATAACTTCAAATATTAAAAACTGCAATCTGAGAATCATGTAAAATTTTAATGTATAAACTTCTTCAAAGACTAGGTAGGTGCTTACAGAATATTTTCAACATTTTACCTATCTCAGCTTTCTCTTCCTTAAACAAGTTTATTTTTCCAAGTGCTAGAAGATTTCTCTATTGATTGCATCTACAGTCCGAGTGTAATAAAAAATTTCCTGGACTAAAGAGTGTTTTGCCCAGGTGGTCCACTTTTCAAAGGCATCTGGCATCTAGTGTATGTTCTCCTGCATCATTGTTATACGACTTTAAATTTATTGTTTTCTTTTTATAAAATGAGTTCCCTCTATGCCTCTCTTGCTGGCACGCATGATATTTGAAATTTAGGTGGGTAAACTAGAACTGAGAAACAACTACAATGTTTTCTGTCTCACTCGTAATCTCTGATTATGAGAGCTTCTAGCATTTACAACATTCTAGAGGTACAGCCCAGAGCAGCACAGCCCCCTGATCACTAGGGGGCACAGCTGATCTACCTGGTCAGCTGCTGACATCTCTTTAGTAGGAAGGGGAGGTGGATAGGGAGAAGAGGGAGGGAGGGGGAGATGGGAGTATTTGAGGGAATGGGCTTCAACTGGCATTTATAATAACTAAATTGTGAAAAATAATAAAAATGAAAATTAATATAAAACACAGTATGTATAATAAAAATGCAAATAAAGATGCAAAAAAAAAATAAATGGTGATGCAGGCATTCCTTGGTTTCTTGGTTTTAGCCAGGAGAGTATTAGCCATGAAAACATAAACAGTGCTAAGTCAGGAGGCACAGGGCAGAACAGGGCTGGTCAGTCGTCTTTATATACACACTGTGCATCACCAGCGAAAGCATGAACTGTAGACTTGGACTGTAGATTTAACAATCAAAGGCCTCTGGAGCTAGGTAGAGAGAAGGAAGCAACTGCCTCAGGAGAAAGCATGACTTCCCCACACCCAGATCTATTCATGCAGCACCGCCATCTCCTGATCCACAAAGCAGGCTGAGCCTAAAGGTGGAAGGATGAGACAGCAGAGTGTGCCCAAGGGTTCAGAGAGCCTATGGGAGTCAACAAGATCACTGACCTCAGAACCTGACATCATAGCAGTGAGGTGAAAGGAGGAGCTGACTGCTGCTCTCTCACCAAAGAGACCAGCATCCTGAGGAGAAGGATGTGTGGCACTTCCCTCCCTGACTCTGCCTGGGGCTCTGCCCTGCTTTGTTAGGTTGCTGTCTTTCTCCTGGGAACAAGTAAGTCCTGAGTTCAGGTGAGGCTGCTCCGGAGATCTTTTACTGCTGCTGCACTGACTCACTATTTCTCTAGATGCTCACTCCTGTCACCTTCCTTCCAGGTCCAGCAAATTCTGGGGTTGTCCAGACTCCAAGACACGTAATCAAAGAAAAGGGAGAAGGGTCTATTCTGAAATGTATTCCCATCTCTGGACACAATAATGTGTTCTGGTACCAACAGACTCCGGGGCGGGAAATGAAGTTCCTCATTCAGCATTATGAAACATCGGAGGGGGAAAAAGGAACCATACCCAACCGTTTCTCAGTCCAGCAGTTCAGTGACTATCACTCTGAGATGAACATGAGTGCCTTGGAGCTGGAGGACTCTGCTGTGTACTTCTGTGCCAGCTCACCACAGCCTTTCATGGTTACTGGCTTTCTGTACCTTAATCTTCCTGTTCTACCTTATGACATAAGATGAGCTTGCATAGAGTGTTCTTAAAACAGGGGTGGCCTTCTGGCTTTCCAGATAATCTCAGATCTCTGGTAGGACTGTCCAGCTTTTAGCCAGGGTTAAGAAACACTGTTTTCTTAGTTTGGGCAGAGGCATAAACCTCATGTGTTTTGTTTGTTTGTTTATATGTATATCTTTTCAAGGCAGGCTTTCTCTGTGGAGACTTGGCTGTCCTAGACTCTCTGTGTAGACCAGGCTGGCCTTGAACTCACAGTGATCCTCCTGCCTCTACCTCTCTGAGTGCTAGGATTAAAGATATATTCCACTATGCCTGCCTAAGCCTCACGTTATTGGACAAGGTGTCCATTAAGGCATTACTGTATTCATTTAAAGATGAAGATTTTTTTTTAAATTTTTATTTTTTAATTCTTTACTAATTATACGTTATTCACTTTGTATCCCCCCTATGGTACCCTCCCTTCTCCTGTCCCAATCCCTCCCTTCCTCCCCCCTCTGCACAAATGCCTCTCCCCAACTCCACTGATAGGGGAGGTCTTCTTTTCCTTCCTTCTGATCCTAATCAATTAGGTCTCATCAGGAGTGGCTGCGTTGTCTTCTTCTATGGCCTGGTAATGCTGCTCCCCCTTCAGAGGGAGGCTATTAAAGAGCAGGCCAATCAGTTCATGTCAGAGACAGTCCCTGTTCCTATTACTATGGAACCCATTTGGCCCCTGAACTGCCATGAGCTACATCTGTGCAGGGGTCTTAGGTTATCTCCATGCATGGTCCTTGGTTGGAGTATCAGTCTCAGGAAAGACCCCTGTGCACAGATTTTTTTGGTTATGTTGCTCTCCTTGTGGAGTTCCTGTCCTCTCCAGATCTTACTGTTTCCCATTTCTTTCATAAAATTCCCTGTACGCTGCCCAAAGGTTGGCCATAAGTCTCACCATCTGCTTTGATAGTTTGCAGGGCAGAGCCTTTCAGAGGTCCTCTCTGTTAGGCTCCTGACTTGTTCCCTGTTTTCTCCTTCTTCTGATGTCCATCCTCTTTGCCTTTCTGTATAGGAATTGAGCTTTTTAGCAAGAGTCCTCCCTCTTGATTAGTTTCTTTAGGTGTACTGATTTTAGTAGGATTATCCTATATTATATGTCTATATGAGTGAGTATATACCCTGTGTGTCGTTCTGCTTCTGGGATAACTCACTCAGGATAATATTTTCCAGATCCCAACATTTACCTGCAAATTTCATGATTTCCTTGTTTTTTTATTGCTGAGTAATATTCCGTTGTGTAGATGTACAACAATTTCTGTATCCATTCCTCCACTGAGGGGCATCTGGGCTGTTTCCAGCTTCTAGCTATTACAAATTAAGCTGCTACAAACATGGTTGAGCAAATATCCCTATTGTGTATTTGAGCCTCTTTTGGATATATGCCTATGAGTGGTATAGCTGGATTTTGAGGAAGCACTATTCCTAGTTGTCTGAGGAAGCGTCAGATTGATTTCCAGAGCAATTGTACAGTTTACATTCCCACCAGCAATGGAGGAGGGTTCCCCTTTCTCCACAACCTCTCCAGCAAATGTTGTAACTTAAGTTTTTGATCTTGGCCTTTCTGATGGGTGTAAGGTGAAATCTCAGGGTCGTTTTGATTTGCATTTTCCTTATGACTAAGGACATTGAACATTTCTTTAAGTTTTTCTCTGCCATTCGATATAACCGAATCCAAGAACACATCAAAGATATCATCCACTATGACCAAGTAGGCTTCATCCCAGGCATGCAGGGGTGGTTCAATATACGGAAATCCATCAAGGTGATCTACCACATAAACAAACTGAAGGAGAAAAACCACATAATAATCTCCTTAGATGCTGAAAAGGAATTTGACACAATCCAATATCCATTCATGTTTAAAGTCTTGGAGAGATCAGGGATACAAGGCACATACCTGAACATAGTAAAGGCAATATAGAGCAAGCCTATAGCCAACATCAAACTCAATGGAGAGAAACTTAAATCAATCCCATTGAAACCAGGGAGAAGACAAAGCTGCCCACTCTCTCCATATCTCTTCAGTATTGTTCTTGAAGTCCTTGCTAGAGCAATAAGACAGTTAAAGTAGATCAAGGGGATAAAAATTGGAAAGGAAGAAGTCAAAGTACCACTATTTGCAGATGTTTGATAGTATACCTGAGTGACCCCAAAAATTCTACTAGGGAACTCCTACAGCTGATTAACACCTTCAGCAAAGTGGCTGGATGTAAAATTAACTCAAAATATCAGTAGCCTCTTGTATACAAAAGACAAAAGGGCCGAGAAAGAAATCAGGGAAACAATACCCTTCACAGTAGCCACAAAGGATATAAAGTACCTTGGTGTGAACTTAACCAAGCAAGTCAAAGACTTGTATGAAAAAATTTTCCAGTCTCTGAAGAAAGAATTAGAAGATATGAGAAGATGGAAAGATCTCCCATGCTCATGGCTTGGCAGGATTAATATGGTAAGGATGGCCATCTTACCAAAAGCAATTTACAGATTCAATGCAATTCCCATCAAATTACCAACACAATTCTTTACAGACCTTGAAAGAAAAATTCTCACCTTCATATGGAACAAGAAGAAACACAGAATTGCTAAACCAATTCTCTTCAGTAAAAGATCTTCAGGAGGTATCTCCATCCCTGATCTTAAGCTGTACTATAGAGCAAAAGTGATAAAAACTGCATCGTACTGGAATAGAAACAGAATGGTGGATCAATGGACCCGAACAGAAGACCCATAAATAAACCCACACACTTATGAACACCTGATCTTTGACAAAGATGCCAAAAACATTCAATGGAAAAAAGACAGCATCTTCAACAAACAGTGCTGGTCTAATTGGATATCTACATGTAGAAAAATGCAAATAAATCTATCCTCATCACCCTGGACAAAACTAAAGTCCAAGTGGATCAAAAATCTCAATATAAAACCAGGCACACTAAACCACTTAGAAGAAAAAGTGGAGAAGAGCCTTGACCTCATTGGCACATGAGACAACTTCCTGAACAGAACACCAACAGCACAGGCTCTAAGAGCAACAATCAATATCATAAGAAAGAAGGGGAGTTAGTATGATGAGGAAAGGATAGGAGTTCCACAAGGACCAAACATATCTGGGCACAGGGTCTTTTCTGAGACTGACATGCAACCAAGGACCATGTATGAATGTAACCTAGAACCTCTGCTCAGATGTAGCCTGTGGTAACTCAGTAACCAATTGGTTTCCCATAGTGAGGGGAACAAGGACTATTTCTAACAGGAACTCAATGACTGGCTCTTTGGCCTCCCCACCCCCCAAGGGAGGAGCAGTCCTGTTAGGCCACAGAGGAGAGCTTTGCAGCCAGTCCTGAAGATACCTGATAAAACAGGATCAGATGAATGGGGAGGAGGTCCCCCCTATCAGTGGACTTGGCAAGGGGCACGGTGGAGATGAGGGAGGGAGGGAGGGACTGGGAGGGAATGAGGGATCGGGACACGGCTGGGATACAGAGTTAATAAAATGTAACTGATAAGAAAAAAATAAAATTAAATTAAAAAAAAGTAAAAAAAAAATAAAATAAATGGGACCTCATGAAACTGATAAGTTTCTGTAAAGCAAAAGACATTGTCATCAGAACAAAATTTCCCAGTTCTGTCATCAGAACAGACTGGGAAAGGATATTCATCAACCCTATATCTGACAGAGGACTAATTTCCAGTATATATAAAGAACTCAAGAAGTTAAACCACAACAAATCAAGTAATCCAATTAAAAAATGGAGTACAGAGCTAAACAGAGAATTCTCAATAGAGGAGTATTGAATGGCAGATGAAGATTTTTATATGTCACTTTATAGATAGGAAATTATAGCTCATGAAATTTCACAACATTTCATATTTAATTATATCAACACTAAGATTCAAACCTAGTTCTCTTGATCTTCATAAAAAAAAAAGTATGAGTTTCTTTGGTCTTCTCTGAGCTAAAAAATGTAGCCACTGTCTTTTGTGTTATAAGATCAGTTGAGCTTAGTGCATATGTCTGAGTGGGGGAATGATATAGTTTAAAGATATGTAATATTAAGTCAGATATTTGTCTTGTCAACGTTTCAAGATGTGGTTTACATTTCAAGAAAGAAAATTTGCTAGTCAAAAATTATAAATCAATTGAAAAGGAATAAAGGGGATATATTTAATCCAATGATTCTTCAATGAAATTTGAATACTGTTCAGAAAACTAACATTGCTGGTAGATCATACTTTATTATGGAACTGAACATAAGATGTATAAAATATTATGTTCCCCACTCCAAACATCTAAGTCTCAATAGAAAGTGCTCCTGTCTTGGCCTGACTCAACCATGGGAAATAGCTTCCTTTGTTGATGGCTCTTGGTCACTGGGGACCAGCCAAGATTTGGGCATGCAGGAGAATTTCCTTTCTGAGATGGTGAGACCCTGTTGCTAACTTCTTCATAGGGGAGAATTATAGAAAGTATCCATTAAGATCCTACAAGGATCACAGCCACAGAAAGGAGGCTTCATACTGAGATATTATCTGTCTAGGAAGTAACTGAGCTATGTTTTACTTAGGAAGGAACCGGTACTGCCATTGAGTAGAGGTGTTTCCTATTATGTCAAAGGTGAGATAGGAGCTCTTGGGTGATTTTGGTACAATTACCCGGGTCTCTAGAGGCAAAAGACCTGCATCTTTCTTGGCAAATACCATGCTGGATTTCAAGATATATTACTTGATGAGTTTAGACATAAAAGTGCCACATTCCCTTTAATGTGTAGCTATCCTGGTTCAGTGGGTGGGAACTGGGGAGCTGACTTCAGGAAGCCCTCATGCCACAGCACATGTTATAGATTGGGCAATCAAGCAGAGTCAGCATTCGTTTGGAGATTCGTGTCATAGTCAGCTTTCTTGCCAGATCTGAGAAAATAAAGGAAGAAGGTATATTTTGGCTTTTTGCTTAGTGCTTCAAAAGTTTGATCTATGA